AGACTGAGAGAAATTGCCATGCTTCACATTAGTGTGCTTCGCCATATCATCTAATGTCAAGATAACTAACATGATAAATAATACCACTTTACAGAATACACATGAATCTATGTAGTTATCACTACTGACTGACAGTCACTCTGCACCAATACAGAAAAATGAAATGTGTCATATGAATTATAAATTGTAGCATGAATTATTTATTAATTGTAATTTAAATTCAAGTTCATCTTTGGTGACATAATTCTTTGGTACATTTGAGGCAGTGTCTTGTGTTAGACAATAGACTAAATTAAACATTTCACAAAGTATAAACAACTTTTATCCAAAGCGACTTACAATTGCTATTTATGGGGTTAAGTGTCTTGCTCATTTAATGGTAATTTTTGGCGATTTACACACTTTGTAGTCCTAGGAATTTAGTCTGATGGACTTCAGGTTTCCGCTGCACAGTCTAAAACCACTGTCGATTAAAAGTTGTACAAATGGTTATTACCAGTTAAACAGTTTGCCCTTGGCGTGTCCTTGAATATCAATCATTTGCCATGAAACAGGAAGTTGATATAACTTCAGTATACATGCTCATATCTGCACCAACCTTAAAGGGGAATTATGGAGAGCGGGTTATTGTATGTTTACACTTATTGTATTTATTTAATCAGGCTGAGCTGTTACTCTGGCAAACTGCAGCAAAAATGTTACACTACAGAAATTTTAAAGTGAATTTCTGCTATCAAAACAGTAAATGATGTTTCTACTGAGTTGAAAGTTCAGATTCATCCTCTACGTCAGCAGTACTATTTTATCTACTGTAGTGCTGTATTTTATCTTGAGTCAGCAGGTTTTACAACTATAATAAAATTCTATATGCCACAAATTTTTAGTGCATAGTCCATCCAGGGTACTATAAAATCATCAAAATGTCAGTTTTAACATCCTTATTATCCAATGCTGATTAAAAGACATACAAAGTTTAATTAATAAGTAAAAATAAAATATAACAACTAACTACTATAAACATGCAACATTAAAAATATATCTTTCACAGAAGTTATTAAATTACCGAAGAAATATAAAATTCTTGTTCTGATTGAATTCCTCCGGATATAAAAGACACGGCTTACTGTTGAGTTCAGTGGCCTCAGCCTTCCACTACCTGCAATACAAAGTCTATGATGTCCATGTGCAAAAGGTCCCTCATCTATAGTCAGTGAAGCACTCTAGATAAGCTCAGGTGTATTTAATGCAGCACTGTCCTAGGGCGGTTGTGTTTCTGTCAAAATAAGAGCACACTGTTATTCAAGATAACTTTATTGAAGACTTTCAAATAATGTTAGCCCGAAGCCAAGAGAGCTCAATGCTCAACAATTGCAAGACAAGCAAATTTAGAAAAAAGCTTCACCACTTTGACAACACACACGACAAATATAGAAAACACAAGCAAAAATAGAAATGCAGTAAATACCACATAACATGACATAATTTTCAGTAGGAATTAAAAACTAACCCCCTAAAAAGAACAGAACATACGTATTGGATAATTCTGGACACCTTGGATTATCATCAACATTTTTTTTGATTGCAGTAACATTATAGTTAAGGTATGGTTAGGGTCAGGCAACTTAAACACTGGGCTGACAGCAACGAAAGATCATTGTTACAGATAAATAATAATTTCCCAATCTATGATGAACTTCACGTCCCTCCCCCCTGACCTTCACACCCTTTGTTTCTGCCTATCTGCATGATGGACAAACTTCTTCCTATGTTGGTATAGCAACTTTATGTAAATCTTGAGCTGCTGAATAGGACGTAACTACAAGGATAATAGGTACTCTTTATGTATATGTATATTGGTGAATGTGTTTTTTTAGTTGGTTTGTGTTTACAGTGCTTTGGTTGTGTTGCAGTGCTCTCTCTGCTGCCATATTTCCACATTGTTATGAAATGCTATAATTTACCTTTGTATTGTTTTTCGAAGTACGTTTTTCTATAGTAAAATATCTCAATGGCTTATGTTATAAAAAACAAGGTTAATTTTTACATTTACATCACATTTTACTTTTAAAAAACTGCTTACTATTTACCTATAACCTGTTAGCTTTTGCCTCAGGAACTTTTGCATCACTGCATGATTATGAATGTTTCACCATGTATGTAGCCAATGATAGTTGTCACTATAGCTAAATCAACGGTCTCTGGCTAAAAATTACACGCTGTAAAATACTGTCAAATTTTGGTTTTTGAATGGTAAATGTGTCAACATAGCTTGACAGGCGTAGCAACAGTAACTAAGTGATCAGGGCTTAGCAAATTATCAATTGTGTAATTGAGGTGGTATTATGCTTTTTGGGTTTTTCCCTCTCCTTTATTGAGTTGTATTTTTTTGCATGTAACAGGTTTGCAAAGTGAAAAAACCCAAAGTCCAGCCCGAAGGGAGTTTTCATCTCCCACAGAAAACTCTGCTCTGAACTGCTTGAAAACAGCTCGTTTATAGTCCAGCCGTTTACCTGTCATCCCTGTGACGACACAGACATGACAACTACCCAAATGCATGTCATATAACACTCGACCAAGCAGCTAGTCCAACACGCCCTCAAAACACTGGTGGAAAAACAGCAAGCTGCAGCACACAGCTCTCCTCTCCCTTCCAAACACTAGCTACCCTCCAGGCAGTCAGTGGACATAAAGTTGTTCCTGTGATGTAGAGACAGAGCTCAGTTAAAACTTTATGGATGAAAGATTCTTTTGTTACAGATTAATAACTTACCACTCTGAAACTCTCGCTCCAGTCCATGTTGCCAAGCTGGTCGGCAACATGTACAGCTGAACCCGAGCTGTTTACCGGCTTCTCGCTGACCCGCCCTTCTCTGTTTCTGATTGGCTAGTAGTCCTCAACTAGGAACTGCACATGTGCAACTCCCAGCAAAGATCATGTTGATGCAAGATGTATCGCTCCATACTTAAAATGAAGCCTTCACACACACAGGGTGAAAAGAGGAGCTGCAGCAATGTGCAGTATGACAAAAATATGGGGAACGATTTACTAACATCCCGAATAAAGAGTACTTAATTGCATGTGCATTCTAAAATATTGCATGTGCAATTGTAGTACCTGTTATGGGTGATGTACTAAGAATTATTGCGTAGATGACAACAGGTGCAAACACAGTGGAGGTGGCAATATTTAAATGAGGGTTTTGCGTGTTTTAATGGTTTCTGTTACGAGGGTTGTGTGGTGTTGGGACAGAGAGGACCCAAACGCAGCACTCAGAGGGAGGGAGGTTTATTGAGGGGGAAAAAGGGGTAGAGGGACTGGAGTGGAGGGAGAGGTGGATGCCAAGGAAACACAGGCACGGGGAACCAAGGGGACTGGGGCCAGGGAGCCGGGGAACACTGGGGCCAAGGAAGCGAGGGAGAACAGGGAGGACACCGTGGGGGTGTCCGAGGAGGAGAGGACCGGTGGAATTGCCCAGCCGACTGAACTGGGGACGAGGGTGAGTGTACCTGGAAGGGAAACAGACAGAGAGACAGGGCTGGAGATCACGGAGACAAAACACAGAGAAAATGTGAGAAAACAAAAAACACGAGAGCCTGAACGTGGAGGTGGCACTGGGTATGGTGCAACGACGATCAAGCAATAGTGGTGTGGAGAACCGGGATTGAAATACAGGCAGGGATGAGGTTGACTACTGGCAGGTGTGGCAGGCTGACGAGGTGGCTGATGAGGTGCAGGTGCAGGTAGTTGGCTGGGCTCAGGAGCAGAGGGAGAGAGAGCACACAGGGGAGAAAACACAGGGAGGCAGGCAGGGAACAGAAAACCAAGGAAAAAGCAGAATAACTGATAAAAGGAGAAAAAAAAACAGGACACTCACCGTCAGCCGGGCTGCCACCACAACAGGTTTCTGCCATGGAGAGTCGGGAGGGAAAGCAGCCACTGTGTAAAAACCTTGGTTTGTTTCATTCAGTGAGTCCTAAATATGTGGAAAGAAGAAGAAGTACTTGGGACAGCGCACCTGAAAAACTGCTTTGGGAAACCTCAGCAGAAACAGATACTGTATGCTGGCGAGGAAATCCCAGCAGATCGTGCTTCATCCAGCCAGACGGAACGATCACCGACCCTCCTCACCGTGCCCAGTCGCTGCGCAATCCCCTGTCCCTGGCCCTGTACGCCCCATTTCCTCTCCGATACCTACAATAGGTTGTTTCGCTATTACAACCGGCGCGCTGTGAACAGTTGGTGATTGTTCCCTCTGGCTGGATGAATTTTACACGTGGTCCATGCACTGCAGCTGGGGACTCTCCACAGCGCCATGCAATTTTCTAAATTCTTCTATCTGACGGAGAAAATAAGTCAGGTTGAAACAAAATTTGGTTTACTGGCATGAATACAACAGAATAAGCAAAATAAAATAACTGTATTGCTATACATTGGATATAGAATAATATCATCTAATATTGTTCTTTTCTCTACATCTTCTTCATTATAGCTGTGTCTCCTTCTGGCATCAATAACAGCAGCCATCTCTGTGCCTCACTTTGTGGTTTGCACCTTCCTTTCAAATGATGCTGTGGCACTCACATGAAATAGTGTTTAGGTGTGGTAGATCACATTGCGTGTAGTAAATGAATGTATATGCATGTTACCCTCCCATTACTTTGCACAATAAAACGGCCCAAATTGCATATTCATTAAGGCAAAGGTACTAAATGAACAGGCGCTATTTTGCACTTTCGAAAGAGGTCATTCTGCGTGCACACTGTTAGTAGATCAGCTTACGTGTTAATTTGCAGGTGATATAAAGTTTGCACATGTTTTTACTCACACAAACCTTTAGTAAATCAGGCCTATGATGTTTTTTGAAAATTATATCATGTAAACCTGTTCTGGTACAACCCTAAATAAGATTTTGAACCTGAAAATGAGCATGATACCACCTCTTTAAAGTAAAGTAAATTTAACTTGTTGGTATCTTTTGGATCTTTGAAGGAGCTGAACAATGGCAACATCCAAAGTATTCCTCTTGCAAACTTTGGAGGATTTGGGAGCCGAGGAGTTTAAAAAATTCAAGTGGTACCTGCAGCAGTCAGAGGTCCTGGAAGCCTTCCCCGCAATACCAAAGAGTCGACTGGAAAATGCCGAGAGGGTGGATACAGTGGATGAGATGGTGCAGACTTACTGTATAAACACTATAAAAGTCACCAAAATGGTTTTAGGGAAGATAAACAAGAATGATCTAGTGGGAAATTTATCAAAACACGCATCAGAACCTACAGGTAAGTCATGGTTTGAATAACAAAATGGATATCTTGTATGTTAAGAACATCAACAAACATTAGCTTTGTAGCTAATGTCTTACTCCTACAAAGATAGACACAAATCTAGTGTTGTCCCTTGGTTTGTGGAAGAAGTTAGAATACAAACATCCACCAGAGAAAATAATTTTGACAGTACAACAAAAATGACGAAACAAAGGCAGAACATCCTCCTTTTGAATGGATTATAAAGTCCATACATCAAAACGTATGTAATTGTATGAGACTGCTAGGGTATATAATATAATATAAATTCCCTCTTTAATTAAGTCATACACTTTCTGGGTTCTTCATTGATCAGAGAGTACATGGATGCAGGGCTTTAACACCCAACATACACTATATTGCCAAAGTTTTGGGTCGTCTGCCTTTACATGCACATGAAGGTTAATCACATTCCATTCTTAATCTGTAGGGTTTAATATGGAGTTGGCCCACCCTTTGTAGCTATAACAGCTTCAACTCTTCTGGGAAGGCTGTCCACAAGGTTTAGGAGTGTGTTTATGGGAACTGTTGACCATTCTTCTAGAAGCGTAATTTTTAGGTCAGGCACAGATGTTGGACAAGAAGGTCTGGCCAGTTCCTTCACACCAAACCTGCTCATCTGTGTCTTTATGGACCTTGCTTTGGGCATTGGTGCACAGTCATGTTGGAACAGAAAAGGGCCATCACCAAACTGTTTCCACAAAGTTGGGAGCATGAAATTGACCAAAATATTTTGGTATCCTGAGGCATTAACAGTTCATTTCACTGAAACTAAGGGGCCAAGCCCAAGCCCAAGCCCTGAAAATCAAATTTACACTTGGCACAATGCAGTTAGACAAGTACCGTTCTCCTGGCAACCGCCAAACCCAGGCTCGTCCATCAGATTACCAGACAGAGAAGTGTGATTCGCCACTCCAGAAAACATGTCTCCACTGCTCTAGTGTCCAGTGATGGCGTGCTTTACACCACTGCATCCGATGCTTTGCATTGCACTTGGTGATGTAAAGCTTGGATAAAGCTGCTCGGCCATGGAAACCCATTCCATGAAGCTCTCTAAGCACTGTTCTTGAGCTAATCCAAAGGCCACACAACGTTTGGAGCTCTGTAGCTATTGAAGTTGCAGAAAGTTGGCAACTTCTGAGCACTGTGCGCCTCAGCATGCGTTGATCCCGCTGTGTGATTTTATGTGGCCTACCACTTTATGTGGCTGAGTTTCTGTTATTCCCAATTGCTTCCACTTTGTTAAAATACCACAGTTGACCGTGGAATATTTAGTAATGAGGAAATTTCAGGATGGACTTATTGCACAGGTGGCAACCTATCACAGTACCACACTTGAATTCACTGAGCTCCTGTAAGCGATCCATCCATCCAACAGTTGTTGCAGAGAGATTCTAAGATACTATTCGGGTAGTTGTCTAGTTGTCAAATTAGCTGATTAGATGCTATGAATAATGTGCACACTTGTTAGAAAAGAGTTAAGGACTATACAATGAATCTGAATCTGACTCATTCACTGTAACATCTTCTTATTGATTTCATCTTTGATTTATTCATTCAGAGATTCTTGCTGCGTGCCAGCAAAAACTCAAATCCAACTTTCAAAAGAAGTATCAGTATGTGTTTGAGAAAGTCACAAAAACAGGGAATTCAGAACTTCTAAATAAGATCTACACAGAGCTCTACATCACAATGGAAGAAACCGGAGAAATCAACATGGAACATGAGGTCAGACAGATTGAAACAGCATCCAGGAAACCAGACAGACCAGAAACAACCCTCAGACAAGAAGACATCTTTAAAGCCTCACCTGGAAGAGATGAACCAATCAGAACATTGATGACTAAGGGAGTGGCTGGCATTGGGAAATCAGCTTTAACACAGAAGTTCACTATGGACTGGGCTGAAGACAAAGCCAACCAGGACATACAGTTCACATTTCCATTCACTTTCAGAGAGCTGAATGTGCTGAAAGAGAAAAAGTACAGCTTGGTGGAACTTGTTCATCACTTCTTTCCTGAAACCAAAGAAGCAGGAATCTGCAGGTTTGAAGAGTTCCAGGTTGTGTTCATCTTTGACGGTCTGGATGAGTGTCGACTTCCTCTGGACTTCCACAACAATGAGGTCCTGACTGATGTTAGAGAGTCCACCTCAGTGGATGTGCTGCTGACAAACCTCATCAGGGGGAACCTGCTTCCCTCTGCTCGCCTCTGGATAACCACACGACCTGCAGCAGCCAATCAGATCCCTCCTGAGTGCGTTGACATGGTGTCAGAGGTGAGAGGGTTCACTGACCCACAGAAGGAGGAGTACTTCAGGAAGAGGTTCAGAGATGAGGAGCAGGCCAGCAGAATCATCTGTCACATCAAGGCATCACGAAGCCTCCACATCATGTGCCACATCCCAGTCTTCTGCTGGATCACTGCTACAGTTCTGGAGGAGGTGTTGAAGACCAGAGAGGGAGGAGATCTGCCCAAGACCCTGACTGAGATGTACATCCACTTCCTGGTGGTTCAGTCCAAACTGAAGAACGTCAAGTATGATGGAGGAGCTGAGACTGATTGGAGTCCAGAGAGCAGGAAGATGATTGAGTCTCTGGGAAAACTGGCTTTTGAGCAGCTGCAGAAAGGCAACCTGATCTTCTATGAATCAGAGCTGAAAGAGTGTGGCATCGATATCAGAGCAGCCTCAGTGTACTCAGGAGTGTTCACACAGATCGATAAAGAGGAGAGTGGACTGTACCAGTACAAGGTGTTCTGCTTTGTCCATCTGAGCCTTCAGGAGTTTCTGGCTGCTCTTCATGTCCATCTGATCTTCATCAACTCTGGTGTCAATCTGCTGGAAGAAGAACAATCAACCTCCTGGCTGTGTAAACTCTTCAGAGACAAACCTAAACTAACACATCTCTACCAGAGTGCTGTGGACAAGGCCTTACAGAGTCCAAATGGACACCTGGACTTGTTCCTGCGCTTCCTCCTGGGTCTCTCACTGCAGACCAACCAGACTCTCCTACAAGGTCTGCTGAAACAGACAGGAGAAAGCTCAAAGTCCATTTCCAAAACAGCTGAGTACATAAAGAAGATGTTCAGGAAGAATCTTTCTCCAGAGAGAAGCATCACTCTGTTCCACTGTCTGAATGAATTGCAAGATCATTCTCTAGTGGAAGAGGTCCAACAGTACCTGAGATCAGAAAGTCTTTCAACAAATAAGCTATCTCCTTCTCAGTTGTCAGCTCTGGCCATGATTTTGCTGTCATCAGAAAAAGATCTGGACGTGTTTGACCTGAAGAAATACTCTGCTTCAGAGGAGGCTCTTCTGAGGCTGCTGCCAGTGGTCACCGCCTCCAACAAAGCTCTGTAGGTGGATGAATCGGTCATTATATATTTATATAAATGTTATATAAATATTTGATATTTAGCAGAAAAACAGCAACATTTTTCACCTTTGTTTGTCACTAATTCCTCTTTAGGCTGAGTGGTTGTAACCTCTCAGAGAGAATCTGTGGAGCTCTGTCGTCAGTTCTAAGCTCCCCATTCTCTAGTCTACGAGAGCTGGACCTGAGTAACAACAACCTGCAGGATTCAGGGTTGAACCTGCTCTCTGCTGGACTAGAGAGTCCACACTGTTCACTGGAAACTGTCAGGTCAGGTTTAATCTATGTAAAGTGTGACACTAAAAGTATTAGGGGGTGTTGATAGCGCAGTAGAGAAGATCATGCCTTTGGTGTGAGAGACCTGGGTTTAATTCCCACTGTGACCCATCCACCATTGTGTCCCTGAGCAAGACATTTAACCCCTCGTTGCTCCAGAGGCGTGCAACCTCTGACGTAGCAATTGTAAGTTGCTTTGGATAAAAGCGTCAGCTAAATGAATTAAAAATGTATTACATTATTAATTAATTATTTCAATTTCCAAAAGTAATTTTTAAATTAATTGAACATGAAATCTTCAAATTCAGTTCTATTTTGAAACACTCAAAGCAGTGCACAACTATACACATTTTTATTAGTTTAGGTTAATAAGGGTGTTTGCACTTGGAATTATAGGTTTGATTGATTAATAATCTTCGCTGCACTGCACACAAAGTTGCATTAATGTGTAAATTAATTTTTTAAAACATTTGTATCTCTTTAAAGGCTTGGTTTGTGTAAACTGTCAGTGACAAGCTGTGAGGCTTTGTCCTCAGTTCTCAGCTGCCAATCCTCTAGTCTGAAAGAGCTGGATCTGCAAAACAATGACCTGCAGGATTCAGGAGTGGAGCAGCTCTCTGCTGGACTGGGGAGTCCACATTGCAAACTGGAAACACTCAGGTAAGACATCAGCAGATAAACATTAAAATGCATTTCTTTCTTGTTGATGTCAGAGAAGATTCCTACCCATGTGATAACCTAAAATGTTGCCTGACCTTTTTTTAATTTCAGACTGTCAGGTTGTCTAATCACAGAGGATGGCTGTGCCCACCTGGTTTCAGCTCTGAGATCCAACCCATCCCATGTGAGAGAGCTTGACCTGAGCTACAATCATCCAGGAGACTCAAGCGTGAAGCTGCTGTCTGCTGGACTGGAGGATCCACACTGGAGACTGGACACTCTCAGGTATTACAGACAAAAAAGAGATCACAAATGTTTCAACAACTCATGTCTCCTCAGCCTTTCATCCTCTTGCGAAACAAAAAAATCAATGGAGTTGATTTGGCACAAACAGCTTACAACATAAATTCATTTGAAATACATACACACATTTAAGATTTTGACTTTTGCACTGTATCAAGCAAGAATAGAATAGATTAACATTGAAATTAACTGTTGGTTCATTCCTTGAATTTTTAGTGAGTGATTTCAACACACCCTGTACACACTTCTCTAGCGCTATCCTGTAGACTTACCTTCTTTGTCTTTTCTTCTTGAGAGGGATCATTTATTGTGTATTAATCAACAGGTGTACTGGAGGCATCTCTGTTTTTAACAAATGTCCTGATTAACCACACAAAAAACAGCTTGTATCCTGTTTTATGGACAGAGATCATCTGCGGCCACTGTTCTGTAACCTCCAACATTTCTCACTCTGGCTTTGCCCATTTGGATTGTGCATAAAACAATCCTACTTCTTAGACCAGTTTTCTTGGGTGTGAATGCTGCAAGCATTCGCATCCTATGTTATTGCTAACAAAACCGTCACGTTTATTTGTGCGCTAACTAGTCCTGCAGCTTTTGACGTAGAATCTCCGTTCAAACTTTGAGGCAAAGTCTCAGAGAGAGTTTCCTATCTGTCTATCTAGGATAGCTGGTTGCCCGGGTGATGTTAATAAGCAGAGAGATCAAAGGGAGACACACACGCACACACATTCTCTCTCTCTGTCACACACACACACACACACACATACTTGGTCCTGTGTTCTGATTGGTGGACAGACGTTAAGCTATTTCTTGAATGAAGTCAAGTGTACTGCGTCTAGAGTACTGCATCTGCTACTACAACCACTACTACTGCACTAATTACTGTTACTACTACCTGGTACTACAACTAACACACACACACTCACACACACACACACTGTTCTCTTCATTGGAAAAAGTTGGGTCTCTGTGTCTCACGGTGTCATAGTCTTATAGTCCACCTGTCTCTCTGTGTCACAGTCTTATAGTCCACCTGTCTCTCTGTCTCACAGTCTTATAGTCCACCTGTCTCTCTGTCTCACAGTCTGTCTCACAGTCTTATAGGCCACCTCTCTCTCTGTGTCACAGTCTTATAGTCCACCTGTCTCTCTGTCTTACAGTCCGTCTCACAGTCTTACAGTCCACCTCTCTCTCTGTCTCACAGTCTTATAGTCCACCTCTCTCTCTGTCTCACAGTCCGTCTCACAGTCTTATAGTCCACCTGTCTCACAGTCCCACTGTCTTATAGTCCACCTGTTTCTCTGTCTCACAGTCCGTCTCACAGTCTTATAGTCCACCTCTCTCTCTGTCTCACAGTCTGTCTCTCAGTCTCAAAGTCTTATAGTCCACCTGTCTCACAGTCCCACAGTCTTATAGTCCACCTGTCTCTCTGTCTTACAGTCTGTCTCACAGTCTTATAATCCATCTCTCTCTCTGTCTCACAGTCCGTCTCACAGTCTCAGTCTTAGAGGCCACCTCTCTCTCTGTGTCACAGTCTTATAGTCCACCTCTCTCTCTGTCTCACAGTCTTATAGTCCACCTGTCTCTCTGTCTCACAGTCCGTCTCACAGTCTTATAGTACACCTGTCTCACAGTCCGTCTCACAGTCTTATAGTCCACCTCTCTCTCTGTCTCACAGTCCGTCTCACAGTCTTATAGTCCACCTCTCTCTCTGTCTCACAGTCCGTCTCACAGTCTTATAGTCCACCTGTCTCACAGTCCCACTGTCTTATAGTCCACCTGTTTCTCTGTCTCACAGTCCGTCTCACAGTCTTATAGTGCACCTCTCTCTCTGTCTCACAGTCTGTCTCTCAGTCTCAAAGTCTTATAGTCCACCTGTCTCACAGTCCCACAGTCTTATAGTCCACCTGTTTCTCTGTCTCACAGTCCGTCTCACAGTCTTATAGTCCACCTCTCTCTCTGTCTCACAGTCCGTCTCACAGTCTTATAGTCCATCTCTCTCTCTGTCTCACAGTCCGTCTCACAGTCTTATAGTCCACCTGTGTCTCTGTCTCACAGTCCGTCTCACAATCTCGGCCAATCAGAACACAGTGGGGGGGGGGGGGGTAAAAAGACAGGAGCATCTACTGCTTGTTTAAGAGAGAGGCTGAAATGAGAGCTTGTATGAAGTTTAGCAATACAGTTTAGCATTAGCCTTCAACAGCCAGCATTCACACTGCAATACAATGCACCTGCTTTAACATCTGCAAAAGGGAGCTGTAGCAGACCTTAAACAAAGCAGACAACATGAAATAATTTTTACATCTGCTTTAGCAGACTTTCAGTTAGTTCTAGTGTGCACAACATCGCAGCCATCCTGATCTAAGAAAGCAATAGTTTGCTCCACATCACCAAATTTATCCCCAAAATATTTGTTACTGTATGTCAATAGGGGTAGCTGACGCTTGCTGTATACATCAGAGGTGACACACCTCTGGACCAACTAGGGGAAAGTGTCTTGCTCACGGACACATTGGTAGATGTGTCACGGTGGAAATTAAACCCGGGTCCCCCACACTAAAGGTATGGGTCTTATCCACTGTGTCATCGCCACCCCGGATCATAATATTGGAAATGCGTATTCAACTGATTCCCAAAATTGGTTTTGGAAATGGAAACTACCATGGCATATTACTCAGAAGGGTCTATGGTTTGTACACTTGTACCATTTCCTTTTGTACTTGAATTATGTACATCTGTGCCAAGTGAATCCACTTCTTTTGTTGTTATTTCCATTATCATATTCAGCTAAACCCCAGAGAATTGATGTAGTTCATCTTCTTTTCATCCTTCTTCTATTATTTATATTCTCTCTTGCCTAATGTGTCAACCCACCTTTCTCCTCTTAGTTGTCCAGCTTTTCTTGATCCTGCATCTGTATTCTCACTCTAAATGTGGCAGGATTCTCCGCATCAGAACTGCTCTCATATCTCTCTTTAAGTTCAAGGCCAGGGTAAATATTTTCGTAAGGGATACGATCATTTATAAATGCAAGATAACACTGTTATTTTATTCACTCATCTGTGCATGCTCATTTATTTCCTGTAAAGATTTCTGCTTGTCAAACATTTCTTCTGCTTGTTTCTTTTTTCTCTTTGCATTTCTACACTCAATTTATATATGCAGAATGCACTTTTTCCACATACTGTTTTGTCATGTGTGAGGACATTAATGAAAATAAAAGCAATAGTAGTGGTGAGCTTCGGTTGTGTACTGGAATTTATCATATAAATGAGTCTTCTGAAATAAAATCACAGTTGTTATTATTTGGACAGTACATCATATTATTGTTTTATTCACCTTGCAGATACAAGGCATTGAAATATTTAAAACAAATGAGAGGCAGCTTGCTTCTCCGTCATAAAGTCAAGCTGAAGAACACATGTTCAACACCACTTACGACTCACATTTGATGGAAAATAGTTTAGAATGAAGGTTTTTATATTTTCCTGTTTCTATAATCAAAGAGAATATGCTGGTCTGACTGTTTCTTCCTCCAGGGTGGACCATGGTGGGGCAGAGTGGTTAAAACCTGGTCTGAGGAAGTGTAAGTGTGGATTCTATTTGATTCATGCCAGTAAAACGTCACACATTTTTCTGTTTAGAGAGAGTTTTACCTACACTTCTTCTATTTATGGTCCTTATTTGTGGCATTTATAAATCCAAATGAGTCTAGTTCTAAATCTTGCTTAATCATCTTAGTATTAATAATGTTCTTCTTCAATATAAATTGATTTTGTAACACAATCTACAAACCTTTTTATTACTTAACAAAATGTAAATAAGTAAAAGGTTACATTATAACCTTTTGCGGTGTTGTGTCTCGTTCTCTCCATCAGATTTCTGTGAACTCACACTGGACACAAACACAGCAAACAGATTCCTCAAACTGTCTGACAACAACAGGAAGGTGACACTGGTTGCAGAAAAAAAGCAGCCATATCCTGATCTTCCAGAGAGATTTGACAGCTGTTATCAGCTGCTGTGTGGAAATGGTCTGACTGGTCGCTGTTACTGGGAAGTCAAGTGGAGAGGAGAGGTTGATATATCAGTGAATTACAGAGGAATCAGCCGGAGAGGAGGCGGTGATGACTGTGTGTTTGGAAGAAATGATCAGTCCTGGAGTCTGAGGTGCTCGGATGTTCGTTACTCTGTCTGGCACAATAACAGAGAAACAGTCCTCGCTCTTTCCTCCTCCTCTGTTTCTCACAGAGTAGCAGTGTATGTGAACTGTCCTGCTGGCTCTCTGTCCTTCTACAGAGTCTCCTCTGACACACTGATCCACCTCCACACCTTCAACACCACATTCACTGAACCTCTTTATCCGGGCTTTGGCTTTGGCTTTGGCTTTGGAGTGGAGTCTTTCATGTTGTCACTGGAGTCCTCAGTGTCTCTGTGTTCTTTGTAGGATGTAGAGTTTCCAAGTATGGAGAGACACACATTGCCGACGGAAGCGACCTTGTTTCTTTTAGGAGACACCCAGATTACGTTTTTTTTTTACTACATAATAAAGAAATATTAATTTTCTTCTAGGTAATTAAGAGTTCTAGAAAGTCACAAAACTTTGATACTCAATTTATTAGTGAAAAACATTTGCTGAAACATATTTAGGAGTTTTAATTATCTTAAGTGCATGGCTTGAAGCACGTGGCACAGTTGCGTTTGGGCCGTGTCCAATTTTGCTAGTTTAATGGCGGAAAATATGGTCAGTGCACCGGGTGCATGTTTCAAAATGGTTGTTCTTAGTCTGTAAATTAGTAATGGGATTGGTTTGGGTGGAACATGCAATACACCAATCAGTGTAATCTCCCATTCCCTTTAAAAGCCAGGTGCGCTTGTACCTTGCATTGCTATAATAATGGCGGATGAATGGCGCATAGTTAAAACCATCAATTGACTGATTGAATGACTCACAGTAGAGGGGGGATATGGACAGAAGTGTGGACGTGATATAAAACTGTCTCTGATCATGAAGCCTAGTGTTCTCATGCAGCTCTGTGGTTTTGCATTGAAGTGTCTGAACTCCACTGCAGACTGGACAGACAGAAAGATGCTGTCTACTCTATGAAATGTATGATCCAAACTGTGCTGCATTATTAGTAACTATGAAGGTTGGGTTGGGTTGTGGTCGTGGCGTGGGTCACATCAGTCCCCTACAGTGGTTTCTTTATTTTGTGATATACTGCTATATGAGCATTTTCTTTAATAATTTACTTTCATGCTGCAACATGTGTGCAATAAAGTCACAGTAAATATCGTTGGGCATTTAAGAAGCAAACCAAAAAAAATACTTATGACAGGAAATTCTCAAATTCAACTCTTAGCTTCTGAAATAATTTTTGTTCCATGGCATAATCGCTTTCTGCTGCCTCAAGATAGCAATGCACCAACAATTTGCCTAACCACACCTCATTTTAAGACCAACACTCACCATGGCAAGGGCATTTGCTCTTTTAACAATGCGGGCGCTTGGTGTGAAAAACACAACTGCCTTGGTTGGAAACTTGAAACCATGAAACATGCACTTTGTGCTGCTTTACGCCAGGTGCATGATAGGGCCCAAAATGTGTTTTCTGCCTAAATATATTATCTTACACTACATTATCTGCTCATAACAATTACAGCATTATTCAAAAATATTTCAAGCCGTTTTTTGTTTGTTTTTTTGGCTTACAATAAAACTTCAGTGTCTCAAAACTATAACTATTTTAGAATATAAAATTTATAATACATAAATGTCGACCTGAGCTGATTTGTATATTTGCATTACTATTTCAAATTTTAATGTCATATTAATATTAGAAGAAGTGAATTTATCTATTGAAAGCTCAGCTTTTCTAATAACAATAATAATAATGATTTGCAGAGAGAAATTGGGTTCTCCCATTCATTTTACTTCAGTCAGAGTTTTGTTTGTTGTGTATAGGATAGGATTAGCCTTTATTTTCTCCCTTGGGTGAAATTCGTCTTGGGCATTCAAGAGACCACAGCGTCTGGCATCACACAGCCATCACAACAACCACACTTAACACTAACATTTAACATTTAACAGATGACAACATATACAGTCACACAACACATACCAGTGTCATAAAATGTAACGGCCATCTGCACATAAAATCACGTTAACACTTAAATTACTACATAAATCCTGTCAGTCACAGCCACCCTTTTTCCAGAAAAAACGCCTAAAATAATGAATCAGTAATATCTCCTCAACCATTTGAGGACCTAGATGCATAATTCTGCAATAAAGAAAAAATATATTTTCATCATCGCCTGGTAAAAAAAGCTATATTTTAATGCAATAAACCATCAAAGCCATCATAAGGAAGATATCTTTTAATACACCTAGAATGCAATTATAACTGTAAATTTGATGAAAATAAACTAAAATACAACAGTTCCATACAATATTTTCAAAATATACCAGATGAATGTCCATATTTTGGCAATATTTACTGTTAAAATGTTGACTTTTATTGGTAGATATCTTTCAAACACTATTTCTGTCCATACAACCAAGTTCCAAATAACATAACATTGAAATATTGATAAAAAGAGGAAATATTCATCAACATTCCTGTCACCAAAAGCACACCCATGCTTTATAGGCCTGTAGATTGAGAACGGAACATCCAACAGATATGGGGGGATGTTAACCGATCCGACTTCAGCAGACTTTTCATTTTCTACCCTGGATGGCGAGAAAGACTGTGTGTTCCAAAGCTGCACGTTTCCTCTATGAAGAAAAGAGGAGAGCAGGCAGACAGCTCGCAGGTATTGCACAATAATCAAGATGGCGCCCGCTGATACTCGGTGCAACAAAATCGGCTGATTTTTGGACTTAAAACGGCGAAAATTAAAATAATTAAGTCAGTGGTTTTGACGATTGCGTGCTGCGTTGGTGTTTAACAGGATAATTCACCCACCCCTGCCTCAATGGTAGATATTGCACAATACTATATTTACAGATTGCAAAATCCCCTTTAACGCCTGATTGCACATTTCCCACAAGTTAAAAAAGTCACAAGTTGCAACATCCCCTTAACACCTAAATGCTTGTTTTCGTACAAAAAAAAAAATTACAGATGCAGCGGCTCTCAATGTAACTGTCAGTCATAGTGACACAATGAGTCATGCAATTATCAAAAACTAACAAAACACAGAGTACATTATGTTTCATAATGTCAGAAGGGATAAAAATATAAATGTCTATACTTTAGGACAACATGCTCTGTAATGGGAGTCTTTGTTTAAACAAGAGACACTGATTAGTGTCTATGTCAGAAACACATTGTTGTGAGAGTGAGATAAATGTTAAAAAAAAAGGACACTGGAAGCGACCGGTTCTGGTTCTTGAGGGGCCTGTCTGACACATATACAAGCCATATAGTAGTGATAAATTGTAGTACAAAGTACAAATATTTTAATTAAGAAAGGTGTTTTATTTGAGATACTGTCTTTATTTCTTTAATAAGTCCTATATCTCTGTATCTCTTGTGCCTGAGCCTATACCTTAAGAGACCTTTGCCTCTAGAGACCTTTGTCTGTGTATGGTTAGAGATGCCCAGCGTCAGTGCATGCTAAAGTCTCAAAATAATGCTAGTTTCCAGTAAAGAGGAAGCTAAGGGCATCATTGAATACGCATTTATGCATCTAGCAAACGAGGAGTTGTGAAAAAAGTGTAATAAAGAGGGGAAGGTCAAGAGTTTTTTTAAGTTTATATATTTTTAAATGTACATTTTCAGTAAACTTTAAGACTTGTCTTCTGTAAGAACATCTCATGTATGAATTCCCTGATGACATCAATAATCATTTTAATCAGGAAAGAAGGCACTATATGCCTAAATGTCACCAGCTCATTTTGAGATTAGAACAGAAGGAAGGTTTTCTTTGTAAAAGATGGTGAACGGGTGTTGCAACTACTGGCAGGAAGTCTACCCTACCTATAAAAAAAAGGAAGGATATGAGGTGAGAATGTAAGAACCAATCAGTCTGATGGCTAAGTTTTGGCAGCCAATGAATGTTTGGAAAAGGGGTGAGGTCCTTCCTGCCGATAAATTATTTAATTTGAGCTAGAGCTCAAAAAGAGAGAGCAATAAATGAAATTGGTGAAAAGAGGAGAAAAGGGGCGAGGAACATTTGGGGGATTCTGTTTTTGCATTTTTTGAAAATAAATAAGTTGCTCTTTGGGCTTAAGAAACTAAACAGTTTTGTATCTTTTTGTCTTAATTTTCTTTTGCCTATTCTGGACTGGAGAGCGGGGTTCCTTGCAGAATTGCCACTTGTCGCTACAACATTCAAGTTTTTTTCTACAATACCAGTAGTTAACTTTGTTCGTATCATTTGTCTGTTTGAGATATAAGTCAAGACATGAGACATATATATGTACCCTTTGTCACTGTTATGTTTGCATACTTTGTTTAATAAAGGTTATGACACAAAATCAATAAATCAGTGTGCTCATGTCAAAAACACATGGTTATTATTAGTTGTTTGGTGTTATTTGATGACAATGTGAAAATAGCTAACAGTTATAACCGTAACTGTTGCAAGGAAATCACAAATCACTTTGCTGATTCAAAGTTCACAGTTCAGTTCAAAGATTTGTAGTCACTGACTTCACTTCACAAATCTTTACTCAAGAAAAAGCAAAAACGACCATTTTACAAACCTACTCAAGTAAATGTATTAAAGTACTTATAATTAACTACTCAAAGTACAAGTTACTTTGTGTTTTAATATTGTTTATTGTTTAATTTTATGCTGTCCAAGTCAGGTCTCCAATACCTCAAGCACCCAATGCAATATCATTATTCCTAAAGCATCTATGAACATGATCTTTACAATGTAAAGAATTATTGTGCCAATAACATGGGAGCAGCGAGTTGATGAATTATTTAGGTATTTCCACATATTAGAGAGAGAGATTTAATTAGAGATTAAAATATCTTCTCAGCTTTTCTCTTGAACCCAATTTTGTGCATCTTCACGTCTCGTGAGCTAAGTGTATATACACCCCCCCAATCTGAGCCCTTATGTCCCCACCACTTTTCAACACGAAGTAACGCCCTTGCTGTCATTACACACACTGTCCTCATGAACACATTATTTCAACACTTACACTCACATACCTCACAAACTGCCCTTCTACACACTTTCCTCAACACACACACACACAAGCACATGGTCCTCAGAAGCACACATTGTTCTTGTAAACTGTCCCCATAACCTCTGTCCTCATTCTGCATACTGTCCCCGCACACAATGTCTTCATACTGCATACTGTCCTCAGACACACTCTCCTTAAACATACTGTAGTCATGATACATGTTGGTCTTGTGATGGTTTTGTAATATATATGATGTATAATGTATATATGTAAAGTCTATGATTTCTTTGATATTTTCTTTTATTTATGTAATTCCATATGTTGACAACAAACATGTACAAATAACCCAGGTGGAAAAAATATATACTTTATTGTATTTCAAACATATTCAAATTTTTAGTAGTACATTTGAAATATACTAAGAAAGAGTCTGTAAATATATAAAAATTACACTAACTTTGAACACACTTTAAAATAATTGTACTATAGTACACTTTCAAGAAATACATTAGATAAAAATATACTTTAAGTTAAAGTTATACGTAATTTCCAAAGTGTACTATTTCAGCTTTGTTTTTAAACATATTTCTGTATATTTGAAAATATATGCTCAAAATTATCACTGTAACAATGAACTGAAAGCTTATTTTTAAAATAACCATTTTAATATGCTGAAGTTTTAGTATATTTTAAATTACATTTGAGTATATTTACTAAGTTAACTTATTCACAATTGTATTTCAGGGCATTATTTGTACATTTCTATTAGAAATTGTAAACATTTATTGCTGCAACAAGGCACCGAAAGCCCATTTATAATTTTTTCAATTAAGTACACAAATAGCTACTCATGCAATTTAATGTTTAATAAGTTTATATTGGCAAATAAGTATCATGTTAAAATACATCTTACACACAAACATATCAAACAAAACAATAAAAGCACACAAGAAATTGTGAGTTTTCTGCTAACAGTAAGAGATTCATAACTGGACAGCCACCATGGAGCAGCCACCACATTATCTTTTTGCAGGTCACATTCCTCACACCAGAAAAATAAATGGTGGCTACATTACATGCAAATACCGTCTGTTGTAGATTTTGAATAAATCAGCGCCATGTCTTTGATCAATCAAGCATATCAGTTTTCTTGCTCACTTCCAGCCAATCAGAGCTGCAGACGGTACTCGTTCGTTGCGTGCCAATCTAGCTCACTCACATGAATGCAGGTTTGCTAGGTTACCAGGACACAATTTCATTCCAATTCGCCAAGGAGGAAAGCAGGGGTGAGAGAGACCGACTTGGCGGAGGAAAAAAAAGCACAGCAGGTGAGTGGAGATTTGAAAAAGGAACGTTAGCCTACATGTTACTCGTCATGCTAGCTCAAATATTCAGGTAAAGTTAGCTAAGCTATGTGAGCCCGTTCTCATTTCAGGGTGTCATATACCAACGCTTTCAGAAAAAGTGACACCAAAGGTCCCTTCTGGAAGCAGGTAGGGTTAGCCTCCTTTGTGTTGCTGTAACGTAGCAAACGGGGGCGTTTCTGTAACGGGGTAGACCTGTATCGGCCTGATTTTCAGTGCAGTGATCGTGTGATGGGTGAGCACCTAGAGTGTGTGTGTGTTGGGGTGTGGTTTTCACATGGGTTGATTGCATGGGGATGGGCTGATTGCAGACAGGTGTGCTTGGGCGTGACCTCCAATCTGTCATTTAACCAGCCACACAGTAGGCTCTGAGTTTTCTGCTTGTCTCCTGTGTGCAGGTACAGAGGTGTGATATGTGAATGTCTTCCTCCCTGGTGTGCAGATGTGCTGCTGCTGCTGGTATCCCAGAAAGTGGGGCACACGGCTGGATCGCAGTCTGGAGAGTTGCATGGTGCAGAGCAACCAGTCACAAAAAGCCTGATTCCCTTTTATATAATTGACCCTGAGACTTTTATTTTCTTAGCTTCGGCCTTGTTTTAACCTTTTTATGTCTATTTCCTTAAATGCATGAATAAACTTGGAGACTATATTTTGCACAGCTTGCCAGTGTTGTTGCCCACTTATTTTTAATAAGTAAATGTACCAATACAGCAATGTTAAAATACTCCATTAAAAGTCCTGCATGAAAAATCCTACTTCAGTAAAACAAAACAAAAGTATAAGCATCAAATGTAGTTAAAAGTATCAAAGTTAATGTAAGTTAGTGGTTTGGTTCCAGTTGTTATATTGTCCATTGTCTAAAATATTCATCTTGAGATTAACTAGTAACTAAAGCTGTTAGTGTAGTAGAATGTACAATATTTCCCTCTGTCATACACGTTACTTATTTTTAGTTTGTTAAAATTATTTACACAAGTCAACCAATGTTTATAATGGTTAAGGTTAATATCAACTGGGGTGGCATTAATTGCTTATTATTAAATATTGTTGTCTAGTACAATTAAAATTTCACATGTTTAGGATATTGCTAACAATTTTTCTACTTTCACATTATAAATGTTTTTGTGCAGGCAAAGAAGGCCGTTTTGTTACCCCAGACATGCAGTCCCGATCATCACACCAGTTCTGATGATGCCTTAACTTCCTGATATTGTAAGTCATACTTTTTTCTTAGCTGCTTGATCTTTGCTCTCTAAATTTTCTGACACAAATTGTTTCTCTGTTTTATTGCTTTATTACCTTTTTCCTGTTTTAAAGTTTCAGGGCAAGAACTCAGTTGAAGTTTATTACCATTTATCTTTTATCATTTTTCATCCTCCTGTGTTCATGGTAAAATGGGTCTAATAAAGTGATGGTATTTAATATGTTACATGTGTCACACATCAGTCATGTGAATTATCTTGCTGTCAGTGGGAACCTTCACACCTCTGGTCAAACCACACCATAGTGGGATATACAGACTACTACCAGTGTTTTCCACAGTAAAGATTGATTTAAGCATATGTTGTTTTTATATTTGAATAACAATTATTTATTTATCATGGGTAGTTAGTGTTGGGTCGGAAATAAGGACAGGCCGGGCCAGTGGAAGGCCTGGTCCCTACCCTAACCAACTTATTAAACTCAGTAAAAATTACTCTATTAGCTTTCTTCTTTAGTCAAAAACTGCGTTGTCAAAGACTTTACTGGAGACAGTCAAGAGTCGGTGCAAAAGAGTTTATTCCAATAAAGGACAAGTAAACCCGAGTAAAATTCCAGGTGGGTTTTACACTTGTTCCCCTTCGAGGGAACTCGAACTGCGTCGGTGACGACACTATGGGAACTCCTCTGGGCGTGGCAGGGCTGTAACCATGAATGAAACTACTCCAATCCTATTGGTGTTGCTAGAACGGTAGCGTATGACGGCGTAACTGGAGGCGTATATAAGCACGCCGGCACACCGGACACATTAGCTTTTTTCTATTCAGCAGGAACTCTGACATGTTTGAGGCCTGAAGAGGAATGTGTTCGCCACCTGGTGTAGAGAACGGGCGGTGGCCCCATTTACCTGCTCAGTGCTCCTCCAGCAACGTTTTTCTGCTGGCCTTTCCCCGTCCACGCTCAAGGTGTATCATTGTGGCTATCATTGCAGCGTTCCACGCCCCTCTAAGGGATGGGCCTTTGGGGAGGCCTCCACTCGTGCGGGTCCTCCGTGGAGCCCGGAGGATGAGACCCGTGACTCGTTCCAGGGTTCCCCCTTGGGACCTGGCAGTGGTTCTCGAAGCGCTGGCTGAGGCCCCCTTCGAACCCCTGGAGTCGGCTGAGGCCAAGCACTTGACCCTTAAGATGGCCTTTCTCCTCGCTATCACCAAACTGAGGAGGGTGGGGGATCTCCAGCCACTTCGGTTTCTCCCTGATGCCTGGAGTTTGCCCCAGGGAGGGTCAGGGCCATCCTGCACCCTTGTCCAGGTTATGTCCCTAAGGTTCCGTCCAGTTTGACAGGGTCCACGGTGCTGCAGGCGTTTCATCCCCCACCTCATGTGACAGCGGAGGACGGGGGACTTCATCTGCTCTGCCCTGTCAGAGCGCTGAGTATTTACACTCTGAGGTCTTCCCGGTGGGGGAAAGCAGACCAGTTGCTGATGTGTTTCAGGTCCCCCAAGGCTGGGGTCCCCGCTTGTAAACACACCATCAGCAATTGGATCGTTCAGACTATTTCCCTGGCCTATCAGGTGCGCGGTTTGCCTTCACCTATGGCCATAAGGGCACACTCTACTCGAGGCATGGCGGCTTCTAGGGCCCTCCTCGCAGGGGCGTCGCTCCAGGATTTGTGTGACGTGGCTGGCTGGGCCACCCCTCACACTTTCATCCGGTTTTACAGTCTGGACCTTCCTTCTGCACCTGGCACCCGTGCGCTCTCCTCTTAGTCGTGCTTCAGGTTGCACACTGGGGGCAGGTGGGGTTTCGGCGTGGCCTAAGTGGGTATCTCATTCCCATAGTGTCGTCATCTAGTGGCCGTTTTTATGTACTGTTTTACATATTTAACCCTTTCACTAATGTCAAAATTACCGTTACTTTGCATATTTAGCATAATTATTGTTACAATTTTTCCTTCTTTATATTTTTAACATTACTGGACTAGAAATTCACCAATAGGTTTCAACTTAAGTCTCACTGTATTTTTTTTTAAAGTTATACAGGCATAACTTGACACCATTAAAACTTAAACGCTTACAATTGTATTTTTTAAAAGAATTAATATGGAATAACATATTTGTTATAAACGTATAACATGGTTCAACACATCAAACATGAATATGCTGTGTCTCATACAGAGCTGAGTTTCTTGTAGTACAAAGCCTAGTTTCTGCAGTACCTTGCCGTACCTAGCAGTACCAGTCGCCATTAATCACAATGTGTCATGATCTCATGCCTGGCGTACGTGACTTACAGCAGGTGCCTTACTACCATTGTGTATGTTACGGTTGGCTAGGTTGCCTGCGCTGCCTGTACAGCTACTCTGCTCATATTGGCACATTGAAAAGGCACAGGTTCATGAATAACGAATAATGAATGTAATCCTTTAGCAGTAAACCTCACATTGAAAGAACAACATTAATGGTCAACACCTTTACCAGATGAGAACATTGTTATTCTCCCAATGGCTACACATGCACTTCTGAGTAATTACAGCACTTCTAGGATATCAAAATAAACAATGGAATTATTCAACATTAGAGATCTCCTAACTATATACAGTATTAATTTATTCTGTTGATTTTCTCTCCCCCTCCCTCCCTCTGTCTTGTACAGCACCCCTTGGCTGGCAGCGCAGCGACAGGGACTTCCTGTGGCTGAACCGACCTCGCATGACCATTTTGCCCATGAGCTGGCTGCCGGGGTCTTTACAAAGGAGGTCCTTGCAGGTTCCATCCTGATTGGGAAGTTGGGAAAGGGGCCTGACAGAAAGACAGCTGGACATTGCCAAAGTACAAGCCATAACAGGTAATTAGCTTAAGTTACGCGTAGTTTAAACTTACGTGAATGTTTTTATAGAAGCAGTACAAACCCATATTAATTGTTAAATATATGTTCACGATGTACTGGTAGAAATATTGGCATACAATACTGATATAATTCCTCACTGCTAATCTTTCAAAAATAGTATTGTTCAACACATTGTTTCCCAGGCAGTCTAATGAAACTAAATGTTGACCTTATCTCTTGCCTATTCTGCAGATGCTGTTCTTCAGGAGTTTCTACAGATAAATGCCTCTGCTGTGCGAGTCACAAGTGTAATAATAAGCAGTTCAGCCAAGAAAAGGAAAATAATATGTAGTATGTTTCTGTATGGTGGGTCGTAGGGCAGTTGTACAATAAACAGCAATGTTGTTTTTTCATTGTACAGTGTTCCACGGTGTTCTTATGAATGAGAAATGTGTAAAGTTTGTCTTACTTGAATGATGTGACAACGTCCTCTTTTCAATAGTGAATTATATTTTTCACAATATATTTCTAGAAATTCTACAATAAAACAACTGTTACACAGTTCTTAAGTGTGTTAAAAGTTAAATTGTGAAAATTGGATAGGATAATGTTTATAAACAATTTTATATTTACAGATCGTACAGTTCGTTGTCAGTATATTTGCAATGTACTATTGAAAATGTAAATATATTTGAAATACAATAAAGCAAAAAACTAAAATTCACCTGTTAAGTGCATTCAGTATTGGGTTGTCCCATAAGTAATTTAGCCTTCAGTATACTGGTAGCCTAATACATGTGCCGTACTGTAGTGTGTAAGCCTATGTAATATACAAAGTAGCATAGCAAAGTTATAATGAAGTATATTGGTAATTAGCTGTAACGTGTACTTTATTATTACTTGGAATAAGCCAAAAGTATAACTGAGATATCTATTACCATGTTACGAATATTTTAATGGTATAGTGCTATTGTGTTTGTAAGACACTCAAAATACATTTTTAATTTACTTATAACACAAAAAGGTACACTTAATTTCCACAAATCAAGAATGTTTATTATTACATATACAGCCACATACTTAAAGTGTACAAAGTATACTTGAAGTTCTTCCACTTTAGCACATAAAGGTACACTAAATACACTTCAAATGTGCTTTTATACAATTTATTTTCAACTAAAATATATTTAGTACAAAATTAGTTGAAATAGCATGCTTCAAGTTGAAGGAGATCTATTAAGCTTTTCCATATTTTATGACTTATCTACAATGTTATAATGTTGGATGTTCATGTTAAACATGGCCAAAGCTTTTATAAGAAATCCCTGTGAGACGAAAACTCAGATTTCCTCCTGTTGTGAACGCTCTATTTTGAACTGCTTTTTCTACCAATGGCTCCGTTCTACATAATACGGAGCCAGACGGAGCTGGTGTTCCATATATGGGCATGTGCTCCCATAGCAACGCCCCAGCAAGGCTCAGTCTGCCTGTTCTGCTAAGCGACAACAACAGCCTGGTAACATGCTTTAGGTCTTGGCCAATCAGAAGACAGTGGGCTTTGAGAGGGGGCCTTAAAGAGACAGGAGCATCTACAGCTTGTTTCAGACAGAGACTGAAATGAAGGCCTACATGAATAGACAGTGTAAGAAAATAAAATATTTTTTTGAACTTTGAATCATGCAAAACTGCCATACAGGAGTCACAGAACTACAATACAGGTCTGGAGTAGTTTAATAGGTCTTCTTTAACTAATCATTAACAAACCTGAAATATAATGATGATTAGACTGACTTCAAGTACACTCAAGTATGCTAAAATTAATACACTTAGCATATTTAGTTTTTTTGTGGTGTAGCAACAGAAAACAATAATTAAAATAGATGAAAATGAAATGAAAGCAAGCATAAGGGGAAAAGAAAACATATCTAAATTCATATTCTGGAACACAATGTTTTTTTACATATTTGCAGTTGGAAAATATAAGTAAGTATAAAAAAATAACGTGCATTATACATTTTCTATGTTTATAGAAATATACTGTTTATCTAGTCTATGTATTTGGAGATTTCTAACACTCCTCCAGTCCTAACCCAGCTACATGGAAGTTTATATTTCATTGCATTTTTTTTCTTGACAAAAATAATACATACAATTACATTTCAAATATGATAAACCCCACCCCTTCAATTCTAATTGAAATCTGAAAGTTTCTTCAAGTGCATACAGCATTGCGTTGTCCCATAAGTAATTTAGCCTTCAGTATACTGGTAGACTAATATGTGCAGTACTGTAGTGTGTAAGAGTAATGTAATATACAACAGATCAACCCCACCCCATCAATTCTAATTAAATTCTGACAGTTTCTTCAAGAATTATTCAAAATAAAAGATATAAATTACATGACAAATAATTTCCAACACAATAAATTTGATGAACATGTTTAGCTCATAAGAAGACAAATAATACAGTTAAAGTTCCCAAGATATATACACTTAATTTATCATTTATTTTGTAAAGAATACAAAAGAATAAAATCTTGGTTGATTTCATGTCTCCTAGACTTTCAATTCAATTCAATTTCAATTCAATTTTATTTATATAGCACCAAATCACAACAACAGTTATCTCACAGCGCTTTTCATAAAAGAGCAGGTCTAGACCGTACTCTATGATGCTATTTACAGAAGCCCAACAGTTCCCACCAAGAGCAGCACTAGGAGACAGAGGGAAGGAAAAACTTCCTTTAAGAGGCAGAAACCTTGAGCAGAACCATGGCTCAGGGTGGGCGGCCATCTGCCTCGACCGGTTGGGGTGAAGGAGAGAGAGAGAGAGAGAGAGAGAGAGAGAGAGAGAGAGAGGGCAGCCTACACAATATACACACAGAGGTACAGACAGTAAAGGTGATGTTGCTATAGACTAAATGAAAAATGGTACAGATATTTATAGTAGTGTTAATGGTAACAGTCATAATGTTAATGATTATAATAACAATAATAACAATAGGACTAGCAACAATAGTCGTTGCAGCAGAGGGTGTCGAGCAGGAACACGGGGGCAGCAGGTGACCCGCAGCCACAGATCCAGACTCCACAGCTCCAGAGCCAGAAAACCTGCAGGAAGTGATAGGAGAGAGGAGAGGGACGAGAAAGCACAAGACTACCGGAAAGGGGAGAAGTTGTGTTAGTAACATGCAATAATGGGATAAGGTTGCATACAGAGGGAGAGAAAGTAGAGGAGAGAGGAGCTCAGTGCATCATGGGAAATCCCCCGGCAGTCTAGGCCTATAGCAGCATAACTAAGGCATGGCTCAGGACTCACCTGAGCCAGCCCTAACTATAAGCTTTATCCAAGAGGAAAGTCTTAAGCCTACTCTTAAATGTGGAGATGGTGTCTGCCTCCTGAACCCAAACTGGAACCTGGTTCCACAGGAGAGGAGCTTGATAGCTGAATGCTCTGGCTCCCATTCTACTTTTGGAGACTCTAGGAACCACAAGTTACCCTGCATTCTGGGAGCGCAGTGCTCTGGTGGGGTAGTAAGGTACTATGAGCTCTTTAAGATAAGATGGTGCCTGACCATTAAGAGCTTTGTAGGTAAGAAGAATGATTTTAAATTCTATTCTGGATTTTACTGGAAGCCAATGCAAAGAAGCTAAAACAGGAGAAATGTGATCTCTTTTCCTGGTTCCTGTCAGAACACGTGCTGCAGCATTCTGGATCAGCTGAAGAGTCTTAATGGACTTTTTCGAGCAGCCTGATAATAAGGAATTGCAGTAATCCAGCCTAGAAGTAACAAATGCATGGACTAGTTTTTCTGCATCATTTTTAGACAGGATGTTCCTGATTTTCGCAATATTACGTAGGTGGAAAAAGGCGGTCCTTGAAATTTGCTTAATGTGAGACTTAAACGACATGTCCTGATCAAAGATAACTCCAAGATTCCTCACAGTGGTGCTGGAGGCCAGGGCGATGCCATCCAGGGAAACTATATCTTTAATGCGTCACGGAGGTGCTTAGGCCCCAGAGCATTAACTTCAGTTTTATCTGAGTTTAACATTAGAAAATTACAGGTCATCCAGGTTTTAACATCCTGAAGGCACATTTGAAGTTTAGCTAACTGATGAGTTTCATCAGGCTTGATCGATAGATATAACTGAGTATCATCTGCATAACAATGAAAGCTTATGGAATGTTTCCTGATAATATTGCCTAAGGGAAGCATATATAAAGTGAAGAGGATTGGTCCGAGGACAGATCCTTGAGGAACTCCATGACTAACTTTGGCATGCATGGAGGACTCATCGTTAACATGTACAATCTGAAATCGATCTGATAAATAGGACTTAAACCAGCTTAGAGCGGTTCCTTTAATGCCAATGAAATGTTCCAGTCTCTGTAATAGGATCTGATGGTCAATGGTGTCAAATGCAGCACTAAGTGCACTACTACTACCTTACATATGCTGTATGTTCTACTGATTCGTTTTGTAAACTATAGATTGAGGCAAACTAATTTTTGCTTGGATTATGTTCACAGACAGTCAGTTTGTATGGTTTGATGTACAGTGTTTTTGTACAAAGTTTTTGACAGCAGGGACCAGGGTGCACCTCCAGTTTACTTGGTTAAATGTCACTGTTTCCCATAGCTGCTACATAGATCAGATTAGCCAGTCATTAAATAGGTCCTGAGGCTATTCTCTTGTTTTGTCCAATCTTTTCTGTACTCCCCCTTCCATATTTTGTTCACCATTGTAGACCATTTCATGCAATAAAAAAGTTATAGAAGAGAGAAAATAAGGCTCTACAAGCTAATGAGATTGCTAACTGTCTATAATTAAACTTGATTAGATTGCTAGCTCAGCTCAATTGCTAACAGGACACGAAGTCTCCACGGTTTATTAAAAGCTGTATTAGTTTCATGGTCTAATGTCTCCTGTGAGTAAACCATGTCTCTGTTGTGAAGCAGTTTATTCCCAAGACAGAAGAGGTCAAACTGGATGGGGACGCCCAACTAATAGCTTGTTATATTCTATTTTCCTTCAAAAGTCAGAACTGTCATCAAACATCTATGTTCCACCATTGTCCTCCCTCAAAAGATTTATCATCAACACAAGTCTTAATTGCTGTTAAAAATACATTTTGTCAGTGTGAAAGAGAAACAGTGTGTGAGCATCCGGTTGTTTGTTCATACCTGAGAGTGTCCTGTCTCCAGCGTGGATCCTCCAGTAGAGCAGACAGCAGCTTCACTCCTAAGTCTCCTGGATCATTGTAACTCAGGTCCAGCTCTTTGAGATGGGATGGGTTGGACCTCAGAGCAGAGGCCAGAACAGTACAGCCATTCTTTGTGACCTGACAACCGGACAGACTGCCAACACAGACACACACATGCACACACACACACACACACACACACAGAATTACTTATTTCAATACAAAATTAATTCTTATGTATTATCAACATGAATGGCTTTAATTTTTGTTTCATCCTCTTTTGAAACTGTCAAGCTGTCATTGTAAACAGATGAAACTATTATTGTATAACTTTTAAAATCATTTTTAGAATCAAACAAGTTGTAATTGTCACACTCCCTGTCTGATCTGTTTAGTTTAGTTATCTGCCATTTACATTATATAGTCTGTTGTATTTTGGTCGTGTTCTTTCTGCTTGTCTTCTTGTTTAATGTTATATTCAATACTCTGATCTGTTCTGTCTCATTTTGATATTATCTGTGCCTGCCTTAGTTCTGTTTAATTCTGCTTCTGCCTAGTGATTGTTATTAGTTTCCCAATTGTCATGCTTGGTTTCTGTCTGTCTGTTAGAAGCATAGGTGTCATTTACGCTGGGGATGCTGGGGACATGTCCCCACCACTTTTTTAAAGCATAATGTGTTAAAAAAACAGTATGAAATATAGCTTTAAATAACAAATGAAAATGTCTTTTGAAAGGTTTATTTGCACAATAAGAAAACATGCAATGTAATTAAAATATAGAAGAAACAAATGTGCAGTGTCCAAAAAATAACTTTAGCTAAAAAACATGAAAATGTCCCCAAAAAACGTGCGGCACCAATCAGTAGCTTCAACAACTTCTTGACACAGTTTCTTTTTGGCTAAGTTTTCAATTCTCTGTCTGTGAACGTGACAAAAGAGGAGGGAAGACTAAATCATGCCTATGTGTGCTACCTCAGCAGGGAGGATATTACATGAGAAAAGTTGATCTACAGGAGAAACAGATCTGACAGCAACACAATGACTGAGAGCTGCACTGACTTATATTCTGTCATATTTATATGTATTAAAATGTCACATGTACCCTGAATTCTGTGTTTCCTTTTACATAAATAAATATCTGTGTATACATGCTTGCTTGTTTCCTGAGTATGTGGCCGGTCATTTTAGCTTGATGTTGTTGACAAGAATTGTGGGGCAAATAAGAATTTGCAGCAGTGAGGTAATAATTTACTCTACTCTTTCCTACTCTTGAGGTGCTATTTCTTTGTACTTTTACTGAGCAATCCACTAGAATCTGAAGGCCGGCTGAGCGAGATCAAACAACTGGGTGTGTGTCCCACCCACTGAAACCAAGCTTTTGTCTTGTTAATCCGGAGGGCGATCTCAGCTGGGTGCAGTCAGTCTTAATGCCCAGTGTGTACAATTAGACTCACAGTACTTCAGTGAAACCTAACCCTGAAGCGTCAGCGTTAGAGTCTGCTCCTTGTGTGAAGACCTACTTGGGTAAAGACCAGTGAGTCTACCTGTGCAAATCCATTGAGCAAGGCCGCCTACAAGAGAAGCTTTTCCCTTTCCGAGGCACACCCACTCACCTAAAGCTGCCAGCTACAACTACACTCAGGCCATGTGCTACCACACTATTCCTATTGTCTCCAGTCCACTCAAGAGGCATCATGCCATCAGGCACAGAAACCAGGCACTCCTCAAGCCTTTAAAACAGGTACCACCCACATCTGTTTACTTGTCTGTTGGGTCATGGAACTGCCAGTCGGCAGTCAACAAAGCTGACTTCATCACTGCTTATGCTAACACATTATCTCTTGGGCTACTGGCGCTCACTGAGACCTGGATACCAACCAGAAAACTCTGCTACCCTCGCTGCGCTGTCCACCAATTAGTCTTTAACCCACACCCCCCAGCCATCTGGGAAGGGGGGTGGGACTGGGTTCTTAATTTCCAACAAATGAAAATTCACACAGCTGCTACCCCCGAATCAATATGCCTCCTTCAAATACCATGCTGTCTTTGTGTCCGATCCAGTAAAGGTCTCTGTGATTGTCATATTCCGTCCACCAGGACAAATGGGTAACTTTGTGGAGGAGCTAGACACACCGCTGTCTTCAATCCCAGAGCATGATTGTCCCCTACTTGTCCTTGGTGACATGAACATTCACTTAGACAATTCAAACTCCGGTAGTAGGTAACTGATACCATCCGTGGGCTCCGTACTGATCTCAAAGCGGCTGAAAGAAAATGGCGAAAAACCAAAGACCCCGCCGACCTTAAGGGCTACCAATTGCTCCTATCCTCCTTCTCAACAAGCATCAGTGCTGCCAAAACTATGTTCTATAATGACAGAATAAGCAGTGCCACTGACTCAAGGAAATTATTTTCCACTTTTAAAGCACTACTAAATCCTCCTCCACCTCCACCACCCACAAACTTGTCTGTTGATACCTTTGCTGCCTTCTTCACAGGCAAAGTGGAGGCTATAACTAGCCAATTCTCTGAAACACTCAAACTCAACCATTGTAGCAGTCCTACTACATCTTTTCCTCTGCCCTTCCAGGTCAGTGGTTGTTCACTCTCCTCATTTACTCCTCTCACAGAGAGCGAAGTATCAGACAGATACAGTATCAGACTCCATGCCCACTGGACCCGATTCCTACGAATCTCCTCCAAGCCATATCTCCTAATGTGGTCCCGACAATCACTCATGTGATAAATACTTCTCTAGCTTCAGGAACCTTTCTGACCACTTTCAAAAGGGCTCGGGTTACACCCTTGCTCAGAAATCCCTCAATTGACCCAACTCAAGTTCTCTCCTACATTTTTTATCCAAAACTATTGAACGAGCAGTTTTCAAACAGGTCTTAGCATTCCTCTCAGGGAATGACCCCTTAGATTCATATCAGTCTGGTTTTAAGAGTGCCCACTCTACTGAAACGACTCTTCTGTCTGTAACAGAAGCCCTAAGGTCAGCTAAAGCTGCAGCCCAATCCTCGGTTCTTATCCTGCTTGACCTATCTGCTGCCTTTGACACAGTCAAACACAGGATCCTGCTATCCGCTCTCTCAGCAATGGGCATCTTGAGTAAAGCACTCCTGTGGTTCTGTTCCTACCTCTCGGGGCATTCCTACAATGTTTTGTGGCAAGGACAATTATCCTCCTCCCCCTGCCTCTCCACAGGGGTGCCCCAAGGCTCAGTGCTTGGGCCCCTTCTCTTCTCAATTTACACCACCTCACTGGGGCCGATCATTCGCTCGCACGGCTTCTCTTACCACTGCTACGCAGACGACACGTAACTCTACCTATCCTTCCCGCCAGGCGATCCCACTGTCTCGGCACGGATCACGGACTGTCTATTGGACATATCTGCATGGATGAAGGCTTGCCACCTTCAACTAAACCTCTCTAAGACTGAACTCTTGGTCAGTCCAGCCAAGCAATCTATCCACCATAACATCAAACTACAAATTGACTCCGCAACCATCACTCCAAACAAGGTGGTGAGAAACTTCATGATTGATGACCAGCTGTCCTTTTCAGACCATTGTTGCTGCTGTCTCTCGGTCATGCCGCTTTGCTCTATACAACCTAAGGAAAATCAGGCCCTACCTCACTGAGTACGCCACCCAGCTTCTGGTACAGGCCATGGTTATCTCTCAATCGACTATTGCAATGCACTCCTAGCAGGTCTCCCAGCTTGTGCGGTGAAACCCTTACAAATGGTTCAGAACGCAGCAGTGTGTCTGGTTTTTGATCAGCCCAAAATGATGTCATGTCACTCCATTACTCAGTGACCTCCACTGGCTCCCCGTGGCCTCCAGAATCAAATTCAAGTAACTAATGCTTGCATACAGAGTGGCTAGTGGGTCTGCACCCATCTACCTAAACTCCATAATACAAACTTACGTTCCTTCTCGGCCGCTACGCTCCTCCAACAAACGCCGCCTTCTGACCCTTCTTCTGTCCCCTACAATGATCATGTATTGATTGCACTTTTTGTTAACTCTTACTTCCTTCCCTAGGTATTTACCCCATTGATGTGATATGTACTGTGAGCCCTTACTAGTATTTATTGCTGCTCTTACTAGTATGTATTGTCAGTTGTAGATCTGTAGTTGATGCTCTGTTGATGCTTGTATGTTGTTCCTCAACTGTAAGTAGCTTTGGATAAAAGGGTCTGCCAAATGTGTAAATGTAAATGTTTTAGGCTCATGTCTTGTGTAATTTGTTGTGCTCTGTCCCACCTGTTCTGGATTCTGTGCCCTGTTGTATTTACGTTTTGGATACTTGGACTCTCTGTAAGTGTGCTCGCTTTTTGTTTTGTGAATAAAACTTTTGAACTGAACCAGCTCTATGTTCTGTATTTGGATCCAACCTGCTAAACTACATACCAATCATGAAAGTAATGGCGTAGTAAATTGCGTTGACCAACTAAAACTATACACACAAACAGGCTACTTACTTACTCGGTTTCCCTGCAAGTTTGTGAGCCACAAGATGTTCTTGCTGGCTGGCCAAGCCATCCAACACTTTCATCCAGAGTAGAATGTCTGGACAACTACCAGCTAGTTCATTAAATTCACACCAAATACCCGAGTAGATGACCTTATCCCAGAATGAAATGTTGTAACACAATCAATAATCTGTATGCCCCACAGGTCATTAGTCATAGAAAGCCATTCACACTCATATTCACACAAAGAGGCAATTTAGAGTATCTAAATAACCTAACCTGAATATCATTGGACTGTGGGAGGAAATGGGAGCACTCTGAGGAAACCCACACAGGCGGGACAACATGCTCCACAGAGAACAGACCCAGAGAGCTGACAGGTTCAAACCAAGAACGTCTTTGCTGTCAGAAATCAGTGCTACAGTGCTACCCATGTTAAGATCAGTTTCAACACAGACATTTAGCCACCTGTGTAGCAAATAATCTGATCCTGAACTGAGAATTTCCAGTGTACAGTGTGGACTTCCCAGTCCAACAGAGAGCAGTTGTACTCCTGAATCCTGCAGCTTATTATTACTCAGGTCCAGCTCTCTCAGACTAGAGGACTGGGAGCTGAGAACTGAGGAAAGAGCTTCACAGCTTCTCTCTGAGAGGTTACAGCCACTCAACCTGAAAAAGAAACCGTAATTAATACAAACAAAATGTTATTTCAAAAGTAAAATATTGGACATTTTTTAATATTGCTTTATGTGTATATATATATATATATATCACACTTTGATTCCACCTACAGAGCGTTGTTGGAGGCTTTGACCACCGGCAGCAGCCTCAGAAGAGCCTCCTCTGAGTATTTCTTCAGGTCAAACACGTCCAGATCTTTTTCTGATGACAGTAAGATGAAGACCAGAGCTGACCACTGAGCAGGAGAGAGTTTATCTGTGGAGAGACTTCCTGAACTCAGGGACTGTTGGATCCTCTCCACTAGAAAACGATCATTCAGTTAATTCAGACAGTGGAACAGATTGATGTTTCTCTCTGGAGACAGATTCTTCCTGAACTTCTTCTTGATGTACTTAACTGTTTTGGAAATGGTCTTGGAGCTACTTCCTGTCTGTGTCAGCAGACCTCATAGGAGAGTCTGATTGGTCTGCAGTGAAAGACCCAGGAGGAAGCGGAGGAACAAGTCCAGGTGTCCATTTGGAATCTTCAAAGCCTTGTCCACAGCACTCTGGTAGAGATGTGTTGTTTTATATGTTTTTCTTAAGAGTTTTGAACTTTCTGTGGTCGGTTGGTCTTCTGCCAGCAGATTGACACCAGAGATGATGAAGGTCAGATGGACATGAAGAGCAGCCAGAAACTCCTGAACGCTCAGATGGACGAAGCAGAACACCTTGTCCTGGTACAGCCCTCTCTCCTCTTTAAAGATCTGAGTGAACACTCCTGAGTACACTGAGGCTGCTCTGATATCGATGCCACACTCTGTCAGGTCTGATTCATAGAAGATCAGGTTGCCTTTCTGCAGCTGCTCAAAAGCCAGTTTTCCCAGAGACTCAACCATCTTCCTGCTCTCTGGACTCCAGTGTGGATCTGTCTCAGCTCCTCCATCATACTTGGTGTTCTTTAGTTTGGACTGAACCACCAGGAAGTGGATGTACATCTCAGTCAGGGTCTTGGGCAGCTCTCCTCCCTCTCTGGTCTCCAACACCTCCTCCAGAACTGTAGCAGTGATCCAGCAGAAGACTGGGATGTGGCACATGATGTGGAGGCTTTGTGATATCTTGATGTGGGAGATGATTCTGCTGGCCTGCTCCTCATCTCTGAATCTCTAACCGAAGTACTCCTCCTTCTGTGGGTCAGTGAACCCTCTGACCTCTGTCACCATGTCAACACACTCAGGAGGGATCTGATTGGCTGCTGCAGATCGTGTGGTTATCCAGAGGTGAGCAGAGGGAAGCAGGTTCCCCCTGATGAGGTTTGTCAGCAGCACATCCACTGAGGTGGACTCAGTCAGGACCTCATTGTCGTGGAAGTCCAGAGGAAGTCGACACTCATCCAGACCGTCAAAGATGAACACAACCTGGAACTCTTCAAAGCTGCAGATTCCTGCTTCTTTGGTTTCAGTAAAGAAGTGATGAACAAGTTCCACCAAGCTGTACTTTTTCTCTTTCAGCACATTCAGCTCTCTGAAAGTGAATGGAAATGTGAACTGTATGTCCTGGTTGGCTTTGTCTTCAGCCCAGTCCAGAGTGAACTTCTGTGTTAAGACTGTTTTCCCAATGCCAGCCACTCCCTTTGTCATCACTGTTCTGATTGGTTCATCTCTTCCAGGTGAGGCTTTAAAGATGTCTTCTTGTCTGATGGTTGTTTCTGGTCTGTCTGGTTTCCTGGATGTTGTTTCAATCTGTCTGACCTCATGTTCATCATTGACCTCTGCAGTCCCTCCCTCTGTGATGTAGAGCTCTGTGTAGATCTGGTTCAGAAGGGTTGGGTTTCCTGCTTTGGCAGTCCCCTCAAACACACACTGACTGAACTTCTTTTTCAGGTTTGTCTTGTGAAAATGCTGGCACAATGGAACATATGTTTCTAAATGAACAAGAAACATTTTAAATCACTTTGTGGATACTCAGAAATCATATATTGATTTTAGGTCCTTGACTTCTGATTATTGCTGGTCATTGTTACTGTAATTGTCATTTTCATGTTCCGGTTATTTGTTTGTGAATACCTGCCTGCAAATCACATTTCCTTAAAGTTGAAGTGGAAATTTTCAAAACATTCTTTGGTTCCAGGCTTCCATCATAAAACAAAGTAACAGAGACACCAAGATTTTTTCTCTCCAATTTCTACCAACATTTTTTAAATTGTGATATGAATAGTATAATTCAGAATAGTTTCTACATATTACTAAGGTTTTGGTGTTGATATGAAATCTCTGATGTTTTTACAGCTATGTATTTCAGTGACTTTTATTTCATTGTGCTGGAAATGCCATGGAATCATCTAATAGCATAAAGATTATTGGTTTGGGGAAAGTTACTGTTAAATGTGTTTTTGGTACAACATACGGGGTTTGTTCAAGTTTATTAGGAACATCTGTTAATTGCTATTACTGTTTTCTTCACTATTGCTGGGCATCCTCTCTTAACTTGCTTAACTTTCATAACTCTTAACTTGTTTGATTTCTTCTTATATTGTCTCTCCTGTGTACACACTGAATGGTAAGTTAACCATTGTGTTTTGGTGACATTTGCTTTACTTTCCCATTGTTTAGGGTCCCACAGACCCATTTATCACTGTTGTATGTAAAAGAAAAAATTGTTTTCATTTAAATATGTTGTTCTCTTTTTTTCTGAGCTCAAACTCAATATGTATTAAAGTACTGAAGTGATAATTCTTTCCTTTGCCATAAACTGCCATTCCATGTTTGATGAACGTGATGCCTCAGTGTGTTGGGGCACATTGTTTTATTTGTAAAGTCTGTCTTTACTGTAGTGCATGGAGCTTTGACCAGAGAACAGCTCATGAACATCAGGGGAACCGCTCCAGTGGATTTATTTCCCTCTTTTCTTGTGTCATCCATGGAATCCTTTGACAGTCTCACCTTTGTATGGGCAGTAAAACGCCTGCAAAGTAAACACATTCCCAACCCGCATGACATTTTGTGATGCCCCTTGGCATCCTATACAGACCCATAAGGTTGTCTTTATTGTCTGTATGAGACACACCAGGCCACACTAACCCCAATATTAACCCGACTGCGGCACTATAATATGCTGGGAGCATTAATCCTGTTAATCAACCATTAGGAAGTATTTTCCTCACTAAGTTAAGGTTAAGGTTTACTTTAAATGATATCCTCAACATTTCTCAACACAAAAACTCAAAAATGTCATGTGACATGGACAGTCTGACCACCTGGGCCTGTTCCTGACTCAGGCTAACAAGCCCCTCAATGGCAGAACAAAACCACAAATCAAGACAGTGCAAATCTGGACAGGAGGATTCTTCAGCCCTGTAGGACTGTTTCGAGGACACGAAGTGGGAGTTGTTTGAACAGCTAGACACAGAGCTCTGCACCACTACAGTCCTGTCTTACATCAACTTCTGCACAGGCATTGTAACCCAGAAAAAACAAGGAGGAGTACAGGAGGGCTAGGGCCAACCTACACAGAGGCATTACATCCGCAAAGCAGGAGTACAAGCAACGCATTGAGGACAACTTCAATGAGAATAACTCCTGAGGCATGTGGCCAGGTGTAAGGACCATCACTGACTACAAGCAGAGCAGCTGCCAACCCACCGGGACTAACCCCTCCCTTCCTGATCAGCTATATACTTTCTTCGCCCCGGGAAGGGAAACAGACCCAGACGCAGACACCAGCTTTACAGAGAGTGACCAGCCACTCACTCTCCAGAACGACCAGGTAAAGAGAGCACTACTCAACATTACGTTACATAACATTTATTCATTTGGCTGATGCTTTTATCCAATGCGACTTACAATAGCTATACTTGTCAGAGGTCGCACGCCTCTGGAGCAACTAGGGGTACACGTTGGAGTATGGGTCACAGTGGGGGATTGAACCCAGGTCTCTCACAACAAAGGCATAGTCTTATCCATTGCGCCATCCCCACCTCATCAACATTAATTGTAATAAGGCAACTGGGCCAGATGTGCTGACCAGCTCACTGCAGTATTCACACACATCTTCAACCTGTCCCTACACCAAGCCACTGTCCCCACCTGTCTAAAAACTGCCATTTTAATACCCATTCTCAAATCCTCGGCCATTAAAAGCATGAATGATTACTGGACAGTTTTTCTCACCCTGGTGATTATGAAATGCTTCAAGAGACTTGTCTTTCCCTCCATCAAAGCATGCATCCCTCCTGACCGCGACAAACAACAGTTTGCATATAAGACCATCAGATCCACAGGTGACGCTACTTCCGTTGCATTGCACTCAGCTCTTACACACCTGGAAAATTCCAACAGCTACGTCAGGATGCTGTTTGTGGACTATAGTTCTGCATTCAACACCATCAACCCCATAAAACTGGTCACCAAACTGCCAACACTAGGCCTGGGAACCAGTCTTTGTCACTGGATCGCAGACTTTCTAACTAATAGGCCTCAGCACGTTAGGTTTGTCCAACTCTGCTTCTCCACCATCACTCTCAGCGCTGGGGTCCCGCAAGGCTGTGTTCTTAGTCCAGCCCTTTACTCTCTGCTCACACATGACTGCAACTCCTCCCATGATTCCAACACTTTCTTTAAATTTGCAGATGACACAATCATAGTGGGACTCATAACCAACAATAATGAAATTGCATACAGAGAGGAGGTTCAGACACTAACAACCTGGTGCAAGGACAACGACCTCCTCCTCTACATGAAAAAAACAAAACAAATCATAATAGATTTCAGGAAAAGTGAAAAAACACCCCATATTGTTTTGTGCATTAATGGAGAGGAGGTAGAGAGAGTCCATAGCTTTAAGTTCCTTGGAGCACACATTACTGAGAACCTAACTCGGAGCCTGAACACAACCCACATCCTCAACAGAGCCCAGCAGAGACTGTTCTTTCTGAGGAACCTGAGAGGCAATATGCTTCCCCAGAGACTGCTGATCAGCTTCTACCGCTGCACAGTATAAAGTGGAAAGGACTCCTCATACCTGGAAACCCCTTCTTCACCACCCTCTCATCAGGCAGACTGAGAACCCCAGCAACACGCACAAACAGGCTACGGAACAGTTTTTCCCTCAGAGCTGTGGACAGGCTGCAGAAAGCATAACAATACCCATCACTACCACGGCCACTTAGCCCTTCCTTGCACACACTTGTACACACACATCTGCACACAGATGAACACACAATTCACACATTCAACATACACATCTATACCCAACATAACAATAACTTCCAATATATTTTACTCTATTTATTGTTACTATAAGCTGCTAAAATGAGATTGCTCCGACATAATTTCACTGTATGAATGCATGCAGTGAAAAAAAAAAATTGTATTGTCAATTAAGGTCAATCAGTCAATGGTTCAAGATACAAATATGTGACCAATAACTGACTCTGTTGTATTGTATGTGTATGGGTTTGTATACCGTACTAGATGCAGCACTTTACTGCTCTAAATAGCACTTCAATATAATTAATTTTTACTTAATTTCATAGAATGGCACTTTACTGCATAAACAGTACTTTAAATTACATAATCCTGTCTACAAAACTGTGTTGTCTTTTAAATTGTGTTGTATTACATATCTAATTTAATGTTTAACTGTGTTACTTTGTACCTTGTGACGACCAGCTACGGGCTAATTCTGGCATATTTATATTGCTGAAAAGCTAATATGTTCATTAATATGCACTTTATATATGCATTTATAAGCATTTTAAAATAATAATGGTGTGATTTAGAATCCAGCCCTCAACCAGTTGGTGACTTTGGTTTCCACTGACAATTGTTATGTCAATTTGTTGTTGACAAACTATTTCGTTCATCGAGGTTTGATGTGTGATTTAAGTATTCCCTTGATTTTTTGAGCAGTGTATTTGATTATATCTAAAGTTTTGGTGTAGCATGCCTGATACTGAGTAATAAAATAAAGTAAATTGAATTAGAAATTTTGGAAGAGCAAGCCCAATTCTGCATTTTGCTGAAATACTTGATTCATCTTACATTTACAACAAATGTAGCACTCCCCAACGTCACTTATTAAACATAAACCTACAAATCTCTCCTCTCCGTTACAATCCCATGTTTTAAAAGTTTGTTGCTTTAGCCCACTTATTAGTGATAATAATTGATCCCTAAATGTTGCATAGTGGCACCCAATAATTCTTTGTCTAATCCCTAAAATAAGTATTGAGCCATCATTTTTGGCCCTTAGCTGCCAGTTACTTTAGTTAGACTCCACGCTGGCTTCACTGTGTTGGTTAAATTATTGTTTTGAACACTTTGAGTATTAACAGTTAATAACAAAACCTCAGTCTGGTTGATCCAAGCTGCCCAACCAGTTCAGACACTCCTGCATTTTTTACAGATCATTTTATCTCAGATTCTAATCAAACTGCTGTTGATTCTACATATGAACCAGTACAAGTGATACATGAAAATAATCCTCAAATCATTGGTCTTTTACTAAAATAGAAATAGAAAGAATATTTTTACCTGGGTCAAATAGATATTTAGAAACAGCCAATCAGCATCAAGAAGCATTTCTACTGTCCAGTTAAACAGTGATCCAGCACAATGTGATCAAAGTGATCCTGATTGTCAGACATTTACAGATTCCTCTGGTCGGATTCTCACCTGCTGAACTCACTTCAGGTCGACTTACAGACACTTTGCACCTTCATGTGTGGAGGAAACACTGGGAGAGAATAAGCTGCTCATTTCTTCCTCGTCAGTCCTGGTGTCTGTGTGCATCTGATCTGAGTCTAAAAAACATCAGAGTGACCTCAAAACCGGTCTAACCTGTGGCAGATTTCACCTTATCAGAAGTATTTTTTTCCCCTTTTTCCATTCCCTGAACTGAGTGTTCAGTTTCCTTCTCTGTCCACTAGATGCTGCTAACTAACCAGCTAATGAGCTAAAGATCAGCTCAGTAAAGAAATCTGTAACAGAAGATCAAGTCTCAATGATCCGACCCAACATGAGGTTTTTAGAGGGATTTATAAATGTACTATTTTAGATGATATGGAGACAAAACACTTATTTATTGATTTCATTCTTCTACAGTGAACCTACATTTCAAGATGACTAGAGATGAGAACTGTGGGGAAACTTCAGCTGGATGTAAAAGATAAAATAACATGTTCAGAGTTGGTTAATAAATAAGTAAAATTTTATTTAAATAGCACCTTTAAAAACTTAGGTTACAAAGTGCTTTACAGACGGATAGAAGGTTAAAAGAAACATTACAACAGTAGACAATGGGGGTGGTGACGGCACAATGGATAAGACACATACAACACACATCAGCTAAATGAATAAATATAATCTATAGTACATACTAGTAAGAGCTAATAGCACATATCGCATTTAGGGGGAAAAAGTGCATTCAATACAGGATAATTGTAAGGGGATTGAAGAAGAGCACAGGAAGTGCATGTTACAGGTTAGGAGTTAGAGGTGTTATAAAAGAAAGTGTTGGCTTGGGAACCGGAGGGTCACCAGTTCGAGTCCAGCGTGGACCACAGATAGGAGTGTGGACTGGTAGCTGGAGAGGTTCACTTTCTGGTTACTGCCGAAGGTAAGTGGCCCCTGAACCCCTAACTGCTCACTGTCACCGTCACTCTGACACCTCTCTGTGTGCTGTTGCTTGAACTTGAACTGTTGTTTGTACTATGTACTAATATGTTTTAGTGCTCTTACTAGTATGTATTTTCAGTTGTAGACCGCGTACTTTGATGCTTTGTTGACGCTTGTCTGTTGTTCCTCAAATGTAAGTCGCTTTGGATAAAAGCGTCTGCCAGATGAGTAAAGGTAAATGTAATACAATAAATGTGAAGACAAAGTGTGTGACAGTCAAACTCAGACTGAGAAAACAGTCAGAACAGACTCAGAAGTCCAGTTTCTATTGAGTAATAACTTTTGTAGTGTGTAATTCACTAAACAGCATTATATTATTTTTCATCAGATTTTTTACTTTTGTTTAATTTTGCTTTCCTCCTTTTTTAGAGCCGGTCCTGACATCCCTGTCGATCATCTGTGCTTGTACTACCTGATGATCCAGCATCTACTCTGGTGGTGCAGTGGTTAGCACTGTTGCCTCAGAGCAAGAAGGTCTAGGGTTCGAACCTTGATCGTCCCAAGAGGAGTTTGCATGTTCACCCTGTGTCTGCGTGGGTTCTCTCTGGGTGCTCTGGCAAAAAACTGACCGAGAGACACTGCCCAGCTAGGTTAGCAACACAGACAGACTATACTCCAAAAATATGGTGATGATTTACTTGTGAGAAATTTATTCATTTATGTCTTTCTTTCTGAATTTGTCAGGGTCAGTCCTCCATACATGTATACATAGACTCAGTTGCCATTTATATTTTGACTCAATGGTTCATGTGTTGACATTGTAATATCACACATTAACCAGCATATGTCAGCATTTAAACAATGGATCTTTTCTGGCACAACTGCTTTAAAATGTTTCAGTGCTTCAGAAAATGTAATTTCCATATCACTAATTTGGACTGTATGTTATCTGTTTTATTTCAGCTTGTTTCTAAGATAAGAAATAAAAACAAATATATCCAACCACACAGAATGAACGAGATAGCTTCTACTGGATTCACAATTTAAAAAGAACAAAAGTAAGCCTGCATTGTAGAGTATAGGTAGATGGACGCAGACCCAGTAGTCACTCTGTATGCAAAAATTAGTAACTTCAATTTGATTTGGGAGGACGTGGAGAGCCAGTGGAAGTTGCTGAGTAATGGAATGATATGAGTCCTTTTGGGTTAATCAATAATGAGACGTGCCGCTGCATTCTGAACTATTCTCACTGCACAAGCTAGAGGACCCGCTAGGAGGGTATTGTCAGGATTTGTGTGAACAGGTGCAGGACCCAAACCCAGGAGACAGAAGAAGAGCTGGTTCAGTTGAGTGATTTATTAAATGAGAAGTGAGCACACTTACAGGGAGTGGCTGAGTCCAAAACATATCTAACGAACAGAGTCCAAAAGAAACCAAAATCCTGAACAAAGGGCAAAAGGTCCATGCACAGCTACAGGCAGGGTCGTAGGCAGAACTAAACACTGACACACATGCACATTCACTGAGTGAACGCATACTTTCATACAAGACACTGAAAACATGGACAGATTAGACAAGGCACTCAAGGACACAGACAAACAAACAAACTATGAATTAATGAAACAGAATACAGAACGCATGTAAAATCTAAATGGAAAACAATGAACTAGAAAACAAATCAAAGAACTAAGACACAGGATCCAGGACTACACACTAAGACATGGACTAAGAACTACGATAAGGCAAGAAGGAATGAGACAGAACGGTTGATGACTGAACATGCAAATAAACAAGGCTAAACAGAAGAAACAAAAAACATGAAACAAAAACCCTAAAACATGACAAGCATTGCAATAGTGGAGAAATAACCATGTCCTGTACCAGAAGCTGGGTGGTGGACTGAGTAAGGTAGGGCCTGACTTTTCTTATGAGCAAAGTAGCACAACTGAGCGACAGCAGCAACATGATCTGCGAAGGACAGCTGGTCATCAATTATGAGACCCAAGTTTCTCACCACCCTGGTTGAAGTGTGCAATTAGAAAACATAGCTTTGTCTGCGTTTTGTTTTGTTTGTTGTTAATTAAATTACTCCTTGTGGGTCATTTCTTACTTCTATGATGTGTGACTACCACTTGATCATTCAGCAGCTTCTTCAGCTCAGTGCTGATTTCAGATCAGTATGTTCAGCTGCATTTCCTCTAATGTCCACTAGATGCTGCTCCATGAAAACTGTATTGTCTCGAAGCCAACATAGTTTTTACAATTATGATTGATTGACATCAACATCACAATCACTGATTCAAAACCAAAGGGAAGGTCCACCCACCACCATCCTTAAATCACTGTTGCACAGTGCAAACAGTGATTTCAGTAACTACCTTAGGTCAACGTTGCAAGTGTTTCTGTATACAGGAGGAGACTTTCCCTCCTACACAGAACACAGAGACACAGAGGAACCAGAGAACCCAAATCCAAATCCAGGATAAAGAGGTTCGGTGAATGTGGTGTTGAAGGTGTGGAGGTGGATCAGTGTGTCAGAGGAGACTCTGTAGAAGGACAGAGAGCCAGCAGGACAGTCCACATACACTGCTACTCTGTCAGAGTAGGAGGAGGACGAGGAGGAGGAGGAGGACTGATTCTCTCTTATTGTGCCAGACAGAGTAACCAACATCAGAGCAGCTCAGACTCCAGGACTGATCATTCCATCCAAACCTGCAGTTATCTCTGTCTCCGCTCCTGCTGATTCCTCTGTAAGACACTGCAATAAAGACCGGTCCTCTCCACTCAACCTCCCAGTAACAGCGACCAGTCAGACTATTTTCACACAGCAGTTGTTCTAAATGGACAAATCTGTCTGGATGTGAAGTGTATAGCTGATACTCCGTCACCCGTGTCACCTTCCTGTTTCTGACAGACAGTTTGAGCTTTGGGTGTGCTGTTTTTGGGTCCAGTTCAAGTTCACAGTCATCTAATGTAGAAACCAAGACACAATACAGCAGCAGGTTATCATCAGACACACCTACTGGGTTCACTCTATATTATTTCCTTAAGTGTACCAATCATACCTTTAGTCCACCATCTCAGTAGAGTTTGAATGAAAAAATGCCAGGACTATAAACTGATTGTGTGCTGTACTGTTGTCATTAATCAAACTTAGTGTTGTAGTACTTAAGACCGGTCTTAAGACCACATATTGATGGTCTGGGTCTTGTCTTGGTCTCGACCGCATTTGTACTCGGTCTTGTCTCGGTCTCGGACATTGAGGACTTGGGATTTTATTTCAAGACCAGTCAAGACCAAAACTGTGGGAATATCAATAAATTGCTTTTGCATTGTCTGATTTGTTAACATCCAAACTTTGATTGGAAGTAAAACATATAGCTTCAAATGCAACCAATAACCCTAATTAACAACTGTCACCCCTCTCTGCAGTGCTTACGTTGACTTCAGCTCTTAGTGTTTGTATGTGGGTGTTTTAATGGGAATGTGGATCAATTTGTGAAGTACCTATGATCTTGTTCCACATTTTATTGCATGCCATGCTGATCTTGGTCTTGACTCGGTCTCGCCCTCCCTTGGTCTGGGGCTTGACTGCTCTCAGCCCCTTAAAGTCTTGGTCTTGTCTTGGTCTCGGTTTGGGCGGTCTTGACTACAACACTAGTCAAACTGAATCCATACTTACACTTTGTCAGACCAGGTTTTAACCACTGATCTCCACCATGGTCCACCCTGGAGGAAAAGTCAGACCAACATATTCTGTTATATCTCTTATGGTTATGGAAACATGAGCATTCTATACATTTACATAACATTCAGGGCATTTAGCAGATGCTTTTGTCCAAAGCAACTAACAATGAGTATATTTGTCTAAAGAAATGGAAAAAGCAATAGATCGCTGTCGGTAGAGTAAGGACGTCAATAGAACAACTTTCAAGCTCTCATAATTGCTAGGTTAGCCATTGCTGGTAAACAGCAAAGATAGCTAGGCTAAGATGCTACACAATGCTAAGTACAATTAATACAATTTTTAAGAGCCAGGATGTACAAACATACAAGTTTTTAAGAGTTTTTATTTCAATAATTACGTGAATGTGAGTGATTTTCCACCCACCATGAGTACTGACTGGTGTTCAACTTATGACAGTGATTTCTGTGTCACAATGTAAAAACCAAAGGCAA